GGAGGGCCCAGCAGCAGCAGCATACCGTGAGCTGCCAGTAATTCTTTAATTGCATGAGGACTTAACTAAAAATATCTCTTTCCTCTTACAAATACATCCCTATGGACAGCGATGCCTTTTTCTCCCCTCCATAAGAAAACATCACGTGTTCAAACTCTCTAAAAATTTCTTTTTTCATCGCTGTGCCTACATTCTCCTGTGTTGTCAAATGAATTAGTACAAAACCAATAATTCACATGAAAACAAATATTCACAAACATTCTGCATAAGCTTCAGATCTGAATGTTTCTCCCCAGTCTACCAGACACACGCTCAGATTTCAGAGTTGTAATTACCATAATAGAAAGGGTCCATTATTGAACAATCAGCATAAAAGCTGAATAACTGCATAAAAGCAGAATAACTGCATACAAATTATACAGGCTTATTTTATACAACTCTGGCTTTTCTGTTTACTATATGCAATTTTTAAAAATTTCATAATTTCATAATAATGAGATAAAAGTAATTTTGATGACTTCTCTGCTGTTTCTATGTTTCAAAACCAAGTGAATGATGAATCTAGCTAGAGTAGCCTTTTATACCTGCAAAGAGTTGATTAAAAAAGCCAAGCTCCACTTTTTTTCAATCTCTCAAAAGAAAAAATTTCAATGGAAAAAAAACTTTTTACAATTTCAATGGAAGAAACAGAAATAACTAAGGATCACTGTAAAGTGCCACTTGAGATGCTTGGGATCAGAAAAAAAGCATCTTAGATGAACTCTCAGCGTGTAATGAAACTTAAATTCAGTTAAATCTCAAACATGGCTGCGTTTCACAGTATTTTTAGTCGGGCCTCTCGGGAAATCTCTCATTTTTTTAGTATGTTAGCAATGCTAGCCCTTTTGAGAGATCATGCATGACCAATTCAAAGATAAAATATATATGTGACCCTTTCAAGACAACAGAAAATGGTAATTCTGCCTCTGCCTTCTACCTGCACTCTTCTCCTCCCTCCCTGTGGAAATCATTCCTAAGGCTCCTGCCTTAGAGAATTTCGGGTGATGGCAAGTTGGACCCATACACCACCCTCTGAAGTTTACCTGTGATGGAGTCGTCACATTGATTTCTGGGACAAAGTTGTCGTCAAAGAAGTTAATGATGTTCTCCTGTTGCAGCTCCTTTGTGGGTGTGAGCTTCGGCAGCGGTGGGACTGGCGGACCTTTCCTCAGCTAGGCAGACAGCAAAAATGTCACAGACTACTTCAGGGAGAGAAGAAAGAGCTTTAAGCCAGGCCTAAACCATTTGTGCTATGTTTTCTTCTCTCTGCTGCTTCACCTTCAACGTGGGAACAAGCCATGGGCTGTTTGGTTGTTCACCACCAAATGCCTTGGAATAAAAATTGTGGGAAAAGCAAAACAACTCTATGTTTCAAACTCATTCCAACTCAAGGTTTAAGATTTCATACAAAAGCATTTCTTAGCTGATTTTCTTCTGCTGTGACGGGCACACAGTGCAAGACGCTTCCTCTCCTATGAAGTTCATAACTGGAAGGGCAATCCTGCACAGAATGAGATCTCTGCAGCTTTTTGGTTTCTTCAATTCATTCCCATTTAGCTTTGGAATTTTGTCCTTACCCACCTATTTAAAGCCTACTTAATGCTAGGAGCATATAATCTTAGGGAACCACAGCACCTCACAGGTGCTTAGGTTAATTCTCCCTGCCTTCCAGAGATTCATGTAACTATGACAAACTAATTGCTTGGAATAATATCAAATACTATGGCATAATTTTAAAATCTGTCAAAATACCAAGAAAAAGAAATCCACAAAAATCCTACGGTGATAGCAGAGATAGTGACATAACGCCATTGGCACCAGTAAGACTAAACTGATTGGTATCAGAGCCATATCAGGCAGTGAGGTGTCACATTTTGGGAGACCAGGAAAACAACTGTGCTCATGTGTAATCAAATGAAAAACGAGATTTCTTCTGATGTGCTCCCCCCCATAGAAATACCAATCAGCACAGAGGCTGTCCCCCATTCTGAAAACATCAGTAACACCAACACGAGTCTTGTGTTGGATATGATCATGAAGTATCACGTACGACTCTTATGCTGCAGATGACACCTTTCACAAAACTGATTGTTATTTCACCAATACTGATGAAAATAGAAACAACTCCAGCAGCGTCAAATTTCTCAATTCAGTGATAATAACAACCAAGTCTTTAATTATCAGTAATTATCACAGTGGTATTTGAGCTAGCTCTATTTACTGTTTTAGAAGGAAATCCATGTTGGCCAGGTCAGTGATACTCACTGGCTCATTTTTTTTCCTGAGCAAGCATAAATTTGAGGAAGATGAAGAGCAGCAATATATAACAAGCTGAAATTCATGAGGAGGTTTAGAAATAGTTTTTTTTAAACAATCACTGCTGGGATACGGGTCCTCAGAGATTATGCAACTTTTTAATAAGTGTTTCGCTCTGTCACAGGTCCCTCCAGTTCACCAGGCGTTTTTTACTTTTCTTCACTCCCACTTATATAAAAACCACTTTCCACCCATGCTCGTGACACAGGGATGAACAACCAATGAACAGAACGGACTGCAACAGGGCCGGTGGCCTCCCTGTCATTGCTCAATCACTGCCTAGATGAAAAACTCACCACACACAACATCTCAGCTACCTTTTACTGCACGACAGGCTGGTTTCTCCTGCTAGGTTTGCACTTACCTGTGTGGGTGACTTCGGCCGGGCGGGTGCCGGAGACGCTGGTGCCAGCATGTGATTGGGACTAGCAGTAGGGCTAGGCAGGGGAGACACCTCCTCCGGTGGTGATGGCGTTTTTGCGATGCGGAGCGGACCTGAATCGCTAGGCAGAAGCAAAGCAACGGCGAGGACATAGGCATCATGCCAACTTACTACCCTGACAACTTGTTGCAATAGATGAACTGCATCCCTGGTGTAAATGCCAGCGACCACAAAAGGCAGCACACACTGGAGACCAACTAAGCCATTATGTAATGACTAAAACTAAAACTGCAATTAAATTCACTTAAAATTCACTGATCTACACTGTCAAAGGAAGTTTTAATTTTGAGTGATCTTTATTTTTGGAACATCTGTTTACCTGATCGTTATAACTTGAGAGAAACAGAGTACCCGCATTTTTTCAGATTCTGTATTTGAAATAATGTTTCGTGTGTAAATTTGTAACTATCATAAAACACAAGATGGAATTATTGTCTTCATTTCACACAGTTCTCAGAATAAAGGGCTCTAAAGATAAAAACCCAGGGGAAGGCACAACAACAAATAACGCAAATAATTTTAAAAGCTCAGCAACTTCAGAAAGGTTTCAATAAAATAAAACACAACCAAGACTATTATAAAGATATCACTGTTTATAGTTGCAGTGAGTTGTCCCTCTAAGCAAGTAGTAGTCAAGTGACTTCAACAGAGCTCTGCTGATACTAAGAAAAGATCTGATGAAGCCTTGAGAAAGGATCTACCTTCCCATGAAAGGACCTGGTGCAAACACATACGCAGCTACCCAGCAATGCTGAAAGCTTGCAGCTCGGGGGGGCTCTAAACTACAGCACTCGACGACCACAGTACTCGGTAAGAGAAGAGCTACATCTTCAAGGAGAACAAAAGCGCTACCCGATTAGGAGACCACACCATGAACATGTTCCTAATGCTAAGACGAGAAAAATTCATTCTTTGGAAAGGACAGTTTTAGCTCACACTCACCACCTCTTTCTGCGGAAATATTAAAAAAGGAAAAACACACAGTTATTAAGAAATTTCTTTCCCAGCTGCAATATTTGCCTTCAGAATAGAGTACTGAGTAGCATATAAGTTTTTAAAGATGTTTCTTTTTACATAGTTCTTTAAAGGAAAGATTAGATACTGTACTTGTCTAGTATCTACTTCTCATGTACCTAAAAAGGAAAGCTGTTCTTTTACAAAGACTCACTCTCGAGTAGCCTTTTAGAGCACCGTAACTAATAATGGAAGTCAAAATCTATTCAGATTTTTATGTGAGGCTCTGAACAGCACAGCAAAAGAGAGAAACACAGTAACTAAAAAAATCACGTTTTTAAAAAGGATTTTAAAAATAAGTTAGGAAGATCACACCACATTAACCTATGTCTACTCGTTTGCAGCAATAATTATTATTTTTTCCTCTCATTGATGGAAAGAGAAATTCAATGGGAATGAGCACGTGCATGCTGGACATGGTCTAGGAGACATGGGTAGCCAAAATACCTGTTTATTAAAAAAAACACACGCTTGAAGTTTTTCAACACTACATTATTTTTCATCCTATAAAAGTATTTTACAAATGCTTTATGGAAACATAGTCCAGCTCATGATTCCATCCTAAAGGGTATGGAAGTGGTGATGCATGATCTATCAACTCCTTGGAGGCAGTGTGTAAGCATATGTTAGCATGGATTAACACTGAAGTAATCCAAAACAAAAATTTTGGATGATCTATCAACTCCTTGGAGGCAGTGTGTAAGCATATGTTAGCATGGATTAACACTGAAGTAATCCAAAACAAAAATTTTGGACGCATTCTTAATACAGTAGTTAATTTTGCATTAGGTCAGAAGGTTCAATATTTTATTCTTTGTTCTTCCAAAGTGAGTTCAAAACTAATGTAGAAATATCAGCCATATGTTTGAGGCAGATGTTACGTCGCTTGGTCAGTCTTAATTGTTGCTAATCTGAGTCCAGCTTGGGGGCAAATTAGCAGTAGCCATAACATTGTTCTGATTGCTTCTGATGAGCTGAGATTGGCTGGAAATTCAGGATTTATCTATTCTCTCTAAAGATAATTGTGTTTTGATAAGTCTCACTGTTTCATAATTTCAACCTCTCCTGCCTATCGCTATTACAGTGCCGAGAGATCAAATTATGGCAGAAAAGCTACATTTGTTGCAAGCAAAAAAATCAGAAATACTGCACTGGCATCCACTAACATTAAGAAAGTGCCATCTGATTTCAAACTTTTTTTGCTTTTTTGTTTGAGGGCAGGATTTCCCTTGAAAGTCATTAAAAATGTGGTATTTTGTGACATTCTTTTTACTTCAGCTTTTATGATGCACACTCAGATCACATTTCTTGACCTTCCCCAAGAGCAGAAGAGATAAAAGCTGACTTACAAAGGCTGGGATTCTCACCTAATCATATGGCTTTAGGAGCTAAAACCACATCTAAATTCTTCAATGCTTAAAAAGAAGTTTATTTAACATTGCTGTAGACTAAGCATCTAAGAATAAATGAGCTACACACTTAGCTGGTGCAAACTTGTGTAACAGTCTACAAGGAATTAGGCTAAATTGGAAGAGCTGGGAATCTGGTTTTTATTCATTTATTGAAAGGAAAAATAAGTGGGTGATGAAGGAAGTTTTGCACCTTTAATCATATTGAGAACAACTTCATCCAAGGAACCTTCATCTACCATCCTGAACGAACAGATCCAGTGACCGTGTCGTGCAGCAATTGCTACACATGGTGTAGGTGACTACCACGCATGCTGAAACACACAAAGTCTACTGCAATGCAATTCATTACAAAAAAGCAATAAACTCACCTTGGTGCCCCTTGAATGGTGAAGGCCTTGTCTGCGTGCTGATCTCCCAGCTTCGTCATCACTTCATATAGTTTGTGACACAGCTGAGAAAACAAATCACTTCCCTGAGTTTATTTGAAGCACTGCAGTTATGATTAAAAACATAGATGATAAATGTGGTCTAATAACTGACAACCTGATTACATACACAACTTGAAAATGGCATACAGATCCTTCCAAAAATACTCAGTGTCATGTATATCAAAAGTCCAAGAGGAAACCTTCCAAAATCCATAGAATCAAAGATAACAGCAGTTCTTCAAAAGCATAAGCTGGTTTTCAGATAACAAGTTTATAAGTGTGACTGACTGCTGCCTGATCTCTGATGAAGGATGTCATCTACAGTTTAAAGCAACATGGGTAGTCAAGAAGATTCATCTTTTCCCCTCAAAAACCTAACTCAAATTTACGTGGGACTTCAGTCAAGAGAGTTTTCCATAGCATTTTTGTTGCTATAGCAGGTTACTACAGATAATACACTACCACTTAGCAAGGTACATTCAAAAGATCCTCATTAGAACTGCTTGATTTGCCTAAAAGTCCCAGATATACGTTGCATTGCTGACAACGAATACAGCAGTCTTGAAGGGAATGCTTGCCATGTTTTTGTGGTACTGATTAAAGCAATGAGATGCTCAGCAATTGGACACGGAAAAAACATTGTAGGCAACAGTATACTAAAAAGAATGGAGAAGTTATCAAATTAGAAAGTGAATTTAATGATACAACTGATAACACACCATAATCCAAAATTGTACATGCTGTCCTTTCCTTAAGGAAAATACAAAAATGGCAAGTAGAAACCAATACAAAAGTCATACTGCAAATCTGGATCTAGGGCAAATTCTCATGTGTGCCTCTGCTAGATTTTTACTGCTGTATTACAAGACATTTTTTTGCTGTTATGCCTATCACATAATCCATTATACATGAGACATTCATTTTTACTCACTAAAGCTATTTCCTTGTGAAACTTGGCTTCAAGGCTGGATACATTTTTGAAGGTGTTCACATAGAAGCCAACTCGTCTACAGAGGATGGCACAAAGAAAGGAAAAAGAGAATAAAAGATAGAGGTGGGAGGGCCACAAAGGAAAATTAATTCATTTTTTTTCCAGACTACATGCAACATTCTTGACTATTATTTTCAGCAAAGCAAATAATTGGATCAAATGCCAAGATTTCAGACTCGCTCATTTATGAATATTTCTCTTGGTGTTAAGAACCATCATATTTCACACCGTGCAGAGTGAACCAAGCTGAGAGTACTTTGCAGTGGGAGGCTTCAGCTTGCTTCAGAGAAGCAGAAGATTGGAAAATAATTGGTATGACTCCGGCACAAGCACATGGAAGGCAAGGTGCTCTGGGCACCCTACCTCCCACCAGACAGCAGACGACCATTGACTGAAAGGGGAGAGGTGCCACTCGGGCACCACCAGTGCCTGCACTGAGATGCTATGGCAGCACCCAGGTGATGCAGGCGCATTTGGAGGCAAGTCTGAGGTATATAGCTCAGTACCACCTCGGGGTGAGCGTCCCATGCTCAGCCCTCCTTTAAGAAAACAGCCCTGAAATACATGCCTATGTATGTTACAGAAAATAATTTCTGACATAGACAATATATTTTGGCACGTGCAGTCAAAAATCTGCTTGCTTGGGGTAAGTGATTATCTCATACACTTTGAAAGTAGAAGGTGTTTTCTCAGGTTTTGAATTTTTTGTTTTCTTATTTAAAACTTTCATGTGTAATTTCTCCCAACTTTTATTAACAAAAATCATCTTTGGCGTAAGAATAAGCCTGCAAAATGTCAACTCAATGCATCATTTTCTTCCTGAAGAATTGCAATAACTGAAAAAAAGGACTCTGAAAGCAATTGCCTTCTAAGTTATGTCTATTGCTCAAATTAAATTCTACCCTTCCCTGAGACTGGTTAGTGGGCAACACACATATCGAAATAAAAGGGCTCTTAGTCTAAATCATTCACATGCAGTTTTCCTTTTAGTAAGCCCATAAAAATCAATATCTTGAAGCGTTAAGAAGCTTTTCAACTGTAATAGGCAGAAACACAGCAGGAAAACTATTGATCTGAAATTTAACGGGAATTAATTTAGAAGGCAGAGAAGGCAAAGGATACTTCAGTGACTCACGAAACACTTCCACTCCAGACTGTCATTTGTTAAAAAACATAGCACACTAATGAGATGCTTATTTTTCTACTGCTTTTGTTGTCCTGCTCATTTTATCTGCATTTTCTGTATAAACATGATCTATGATAATACATCTCAAATGATCTAAGCCATCAAATGTTTTTACATCACAGACACAGTCAGTACAAAACTACGAAATGTGTATTCTGAAGTAGTTTGAAAATTATTTTTCCCTTCTACTGCTTTAGTAGGAACTAAATTTCTAGGAACTAAATTTCCTAATTTTATAGGAACTTGGGAAAAACAACTGCCATAAAATCTTCATACGTTTTCAAGGTTCTTCATTTCAATACCTTTTGTAGAAATATGATCTATAACCAGACCCACTGCAAATCTTCTAGAAAAGCACGTGGCTCTCTGAACAGTTATTTTTGACAGAGGAAACATTTGATCCTTTTTATTAAGAAGTGGCTTTTTTTTTTTTTCTCCTTGAAAGGATCAGGTATCCACCATCTAGATTTCTGAGAAAGATGATGGAAGCAGTCGTAGTCGTGATCTGCTGTTCTGTGCTCTGCCACGGTTCTTTATTTGTAAAATGGAGACCTTTTTGCACCTCAGAATGAAGATATGATAAAGAATCTTACAATGAAAGAAATAAGCATAAATACACTTATTATAAGTATAACTTCGGATCATTTTCAGGCATTTTCCCTTTATTATTTCAAAAAGATAATGGATAGGATCTTCAAGGAGCCATTGAATCATTTTCTATCAGCTCGTTAAAACCCCCTGGTTCCCTTTCCTTAGTCTCCCTTTAGGCTTTTCAGACAATATCTGTCTTGGCTTACCGTGACCACAGAGATGGCAACTCTTCTTGTAAATCAGTATTAAACTCTTCAAACACTTTCTGTGCTTTCTGAAACTCTTCTTCTGCCTAAAACAAAATTAAATAGGGTCAATTCTGCCATCACTATGACATAGCAAAACCTAGCAAAGTTGGTTTTGTGGGGTTTTTTGAGGGTCTTAAAGTTTTTATTAACAAAGGATGAGACTTAGTCCCACATCACACAGGCCAACACAGGACTCAGTGGCCCCCAAGCCTCATCAAGAGAGGAAGTTAGGGCTCAAACAGGACTCATTCCTGAAAGAGGCTGAGCACACCCTCTTCACCCATCAAAATACTCAAGACACATTTATGCTTAAGGATGTTGCTAGTTCCATTTCTGAGAGAGGAAAAAAAGAGAAACTTTGTACTCAGTCTCTGCACAGAAACAAACGCCACCCAAGCTCCTGAAGTCTTCTGCCAGCTCCCTTCAAAGTGTGCTACCTTGGTAATTCTGCCTTCATCTTTTCTTTTTGAGCTCTGCAGGGCTTCTAGGTGATGCCTTGCACTGTCGTAGTCCACCAGCTTTCTGCTTCGTTTTGCAATGCGAGTCTGTACAGAGGTAGAAATGAAAGTCGGCACAAATACTGCTTTTTTTAAAAGCAATTTTAGCTCAGTTATCTGTTAAGTTTTTGATATATTTCTATTCTCCATCTGCTGCTCAGATCTGACTTACTATAATAGCACACAGGAACACAGGCATGGTAAAAGAGACAAACTAATCACCTTATTTTAAATAAAGAACCCATTTACAGATGGTTTGGAAGAGTTTTTTTGTGGGTATAGGGCTTAAAGGCCTTAGAAGTGAGATACCAATGTTATGCAAGACTTGTCTAATTCTCCAGAATAAGTGGACCTGTTAAACTCATGGTAACACCATCTTTTTCCCTTATATACAGTGTGCAAATTTGATGAATAATTAATGGGTTTTTTTCCTAGAGTTGAAAAAATGCTTAAATACACTTCTTGATATAGTTGCTATGACACATAACTAAGATAACTGGAGTTCAACATACACTAGGAATTCTAATTTACTCACTATAATTCTTTTAAAATTAAACAAAAGTCCTTTGATATATACTGACTTTACAAAGCTATATATTATATGTTAAGTCCACATGATGAGAGGGTATAAGCACAATTTTTGAGACTGAATGTCAGAAACGTTGGGATTTTTAAATTATTTTTTTTAAGTATCTGATGTAAATGACAGGGGATGACTGCGTGATATCCACTCAATTATAAACCATCACAAAGAATTCCTGCTATGTCCATACAGTCACATTCAAATATAAAAGTATCTATGTCTCACCTGTAAAGATTCTTTACCCCCACACGTTTCCTTTAGCCACTATCTCTCTGGGCTGTACACCTGACGGGTGTCTGGGAGAGGCCAGAATCCACCTAACAGTCTCTCCTTATGTGTATTACAAAACCTTTTTATAACTAATTAAAAGACAGGAACCATGACTTAGTTAAGAGAAAGATATTTAGATACCCACAGGTGCATCTAGCTAATAACAAAAGGCCTGCTTTTCATACTGTAATTTGTCTGGCATTTTAACAGCTGAAGAGCTTAATGTGCCCCTGTTGAAGTCAATGAGAATTGTCTCATACCAAATAAATCCCAGCAGGAAAAAACATAAAAGTTTTACCTACAAAGACTAATTTACTTCCAAGTACTACTGCATGAGAAATACTTCTGTTCACTTGGCAAATCAGTGCACCCTAATGTCAGCGATTTACTTACAGAACCACCTTTTTTACATTGCAGAAGAGAATGACTTCCACCTCCCCCCCCTTTTTTTATTTTTCTTTGCTTGCAATCTCATTTTCTATTTATGTTATGACTCAACAGCAATTTTACAAATTGTCCTTTATAGGAAATCATTACTGTACTTTGATATCAGGAAATTGTCCTAGATATGTATCCAAGGTCAACAAAGACCCATCCACCAGTTTTTGATGGAAGTCTTCCCAAAGTTCATCACATTTCTGTAAAGGCAGAAAAGAGAAAAATGCACTGAGTAGTTTAATTCCACTCCAAAGCTAGGGGAAATAAAAATGTAATTGGTAAAAAATAAGATTTCTGAAATTTTAAAATGTTCTTTATGACAATAAATCAGAGTGCACTTTAAGGTATATGAAAAGAAATACCTTGACACTGTAGGTTTTAATTCACAACAAAAGAAGATTTAATTTAATAACTAGTTTGTGTTTTCATTCTTTCAAATAGTAACTGCTATGTGTAAATAAGGATATCAAGTTCCTTCTCAGGGTTTCAGATCCCTGAGGGCCAACAATTCAGAATGTGAAGCTGCCCTAGTTCTTACGCCTAAGTATGTTCACTCATGATGAACCTTCCTTACAGAGCAAAGTAGTACAACAAAAAATAGAAGAGTAGATAAAATTAAAGAAAAAAACAAAGTGGGTTTCCCATCATTTACAAGAATTTATAAGCTTCGTTTTGCTCGGTCATTTTTAAAATAGAAGTTGTGGAGACCCACCCTAAGAAAGGTCTTTCCACTCCACACTTTCTGTATTATTTTGCCATTAAGGTATGTTTTACGAATTGGCCAACGGACAGACAAAATCTCTACCTTGCACTGCTAGAGAACTGGGATGCCAGATAGAAAACATGCCATTATCAGCAGGTAAAATAAACAAATTCCCCCCCCAGAAGCTACAGTGCTTTTTCCCAGTCCCCTCTGTAGCTCTGGGGCAGCCACCAAGAGACTTTGTAGTTTTCCAGTTTTTAGGAATATGTTAACGCAGCTGATGTGACGAGGACCCCATGGGGAGCAGGGTGAGATTCCTTGCCAGAAGCAAATCCTGTTACATAGAGACATAGTGCTCAAGGTCCCGGGTTCTCAGCTGAACATTTCAAAAATCACTGAACTCCTTCCTTTGATGAGAGGGAGGCTAAAGGGAGCAAGTGTTGCTTTGCAGGGCTGTTATCCTCACCGGCAAGTCCGGAAAGCTATTCCCTAGTGTTTGTTTTATCACGAACCACTATGGGGCATATTATGAATGCTGTGTGATGCCAGCACTTAGTCCATTCATTTCTTACCCTAACAGAGTCCCTAATGAATTATTACAATCTATTAATCATGCTTAAAAGAAATACCACATTTATTAACACAATATTTAATCACAGTGGTCTACAGAGCAACACAGCATTAGATCACAGCGGCCAACTGCCTGTCTTGTACATTTGCCTTTGTATCTTGCTGATACATAATTTGGACAAATTAAAATCATGAAGGTTTTCTGAAAGTTAATGGGCTCAAAAAAAAAACCATTGCTGAAGAGTTCTTTAAACCATTGTCCTTCCTACCATACAGAGTAAGGTCATTTAGGTGGATCGCTTTTGGAATGATTGTTTATGTCCTGGACCGCACAAATATATCATTCTTTTTCACTCCAGATTGAGGTTGTGATTATATGCCCTATAATTAATAACAGCTGTGATTATACAAGGGAAAACATCAGGAGTAGAGATTTTGTAATATTGCCTACATGAGTCTCTTGTTAAGAAGACACATCTAACATTTATCCCTATGTCTAGTAGAGGTTAAGAGCCAAATTTTGGTCCTTTCACACACACAATTACAAATTTCTGAGTGTAAAAGCTAATAGTCTACAGATATAAGATGAGGTGCTACAGTAAGATGCAGCAGAAGATCTTCCATCCGATAAACCTAAAACAATGTAAACAGTACGGTATCTTAACTCACACGGTTTGGAAGTTGGGTGCTTTTAAAAATCAAAAACATGTCAAGCCTTCAGCTGCAGGGAGGGTAGAGGAAGGCAATCATAGAGAAGAAAAGTAATTATTGTGCAGATTGGGGAAGACTGCTCTGTTTTCCAGTTTCTTGTTAATTATATTATCCAGGAGGCTTTGCAAACTGAATGCCAGGTGGTCAAAAGCTTCATCGATAACAATTTGCACTTTCTTGTCACCACCAGCACATTTGCTGACAGACTTCCTCCGGAATTAAGGCTGCTTAAGCAGGCAATTCAGAGCACCTCAAGTCAAACCCCTGCAGTGTCCTCTAGAAAAGCCTATTCTTCTCTAATCACCAGAGGAAGCTAAAAAGGTTAAAATGAATAGTGTCCTGCAGCTTAATTTGCCCTTAAATTCCAGACTTTTGCCAGAGAGAGGCTAGTGCCCCATCAGATACATTGTTTAGTGCCACTGGCTCAAGGTTACACAGCACACAAGGATAAGCAGATCCCATAATTTTTAACACTCAACTGACTTGAGAATCCTGACTGTAAAATTGCATGTAAGACACCTTGTACAAACTTGTCAATCAGTTGCTATCAGGACCAAGTCTGCTCACACTGATGTTGACCTTAGTGGGAGCTTATGTCAGCTACAGTTCGTAAAATAGACATTGCAAATGTGGCACCTGGTCAGCAGAAGGTGCCTTTCACAAGATCAATAATCTCTATAATCAGTAAACAGGATTTAACGAGCGACGAAGAATTAAGGGCAATTTCAGACGCACACTTCTCCTCAACAACTCAGATTAATCCCTTTGGAGCCAAAAATACTTGTTTTCCTCTTTCCACACATCTTACCTCTCCAATCATTTTCACATCTTCTCGTCCATACCAATCTGGCTCATACACTTCATGAAGAGACTCTGTAAGTTTCTTTGAGGCATCTTGCATCCCTGTAGTTAGGCAGAAGGAGGAACATATAACTTGTAGTTTGACTACAAGAAACAGTTGCTAAATATCTTTATTTTGACCCACACGTACCCACTATACTATTACCCCTGGCATGTTTAGAATATTAATTTTTCAAGAGCTGAAACAAAACCTTTATTTTCACCCAGCTTCCCCAGGCTAATGAGAAATGTTCCTCACAGAAGGAATAACCCATATTTATATGTAGAAATAAAGTTTCTATCCGATTAGAGATTCCATTTTCTATTCTGAACTAAACTTATCTGAACACGAGTAGCAACTCGGAGGGTAGTCCTGCCCACTAAAGACACGCAATATCCAACTGAAAGACTATCACCGAAAAGACAATCAAACAGTGACCTTGGCCTTTGGTTACTCTCAGCTCTCCCACCCCAGAGAACAGTTTCGTACCTTGACTGTAACGAGCACCACACCAACCTGTGTGGAAAAGGAGGCATTTCCAGGGTGGCACGGTTAAAATGGGAGAGATTTCTGCGAATTGCTGGCTCTAAAGAGGGACTTCGGAGAAAAGCTAGAAGAGGTCTGCGCTAAACGAAAGCGCTCCCCAGAATGGGAGTGGTCACACACAGGTAGAATCTCTCTCAGGATTTCTCTGTTTCCATGTTTTCAAAGATATTTAAATCTCAGAAGCTTTCACGTGTAAAGTGAGAGTGGTTGAGCGTGTTGTTCTTGTATCCACAATAATGATGGTGACCTAAAGGTATATTCATAATGAAACAAAGGACTGGCAAGAGCTGAGATAGTGTCTAGGGAAAAGAGATGGCTGAACTTGCAGACAGCGCCATAATAGACCTGGATTTATGAAGAATGGTTAGCTTGTATGTTCATCCAGTAGGTCTAGAAGCATGTGGAGCCCAGCACTTATTTACACTTTCAGTGGGTTGGTATCTACACAGAAGTATGATGAGCCAAACTGCACCAGTCACCTTTGTAGCTCTTGCTACCACAGACAACACAAGAACGAGGACTATTGATGGTTACCACTATGCAATACACACATGAGCTGGCTTAAATGTAAAGTATCTTAATGAAATGATGAGAAAGAGGGTAGATCTATCTCCAGTGACATCAGTTTGACCCCAGTGAATAAATTACTGCCCTCAGTGAAGGCACCGGGGTTTGCCTTTCCATTTTGATGGAGCACCAATACATTAGACATTGAATACACTTCTGAATCCAGTGAAATGAAATTGATCTCACCTAACATGATAAGAGTCAGTTCAGAATCCGTAATTTTAAAATTATAACTTTATTTCAACTTCTTTGTAAAATCTGAACAACACCGCTATTTTTTTTTACCTAGCATTAACTTCTTTTTTTAAAAACAAACATTTTTTTCTCCAGCCAAAGTCTGCTTGCTGCAGCACATCTGTGCTGTCTTGAAAATATCTAGTGTGATCTTCAGATTTAACTGCTTAGTGGCTGAATTTAGAAATGCCATCGATATTTCTCTTTTCTGCACAAAGAAACGTTGAGGAGTGAAAGAGGAGAATTGATTTGAAACTTGAATGTCTAGAGGAGCAGACTTGACCTAGTCAGTAGCTATTCCACCACGCACTCAAGATACAATAGGAAAACAAATGCAGTAATGCACACTTCCTAATATAAAAATTGTGGTTTATGGAATGAGTAGGAGAGGAAAAAAGATACTGGAAAAGCTGAAACCAGATGGCTGTTTTCAGACCTTGGGTTCAAGGGAGAGAATGGCGTGGGAAATGGGGAGGAATACAAAGGAAACTCTGGTGTTCAGAGGGTACAATCTTTCACCTTTAAATCTAAAGATGCTGAGCCAAAACAAAATATTTGATCTCTTCAAGGATTGTCTTGGGGTGCTTTTTAATGACAGAGCTCAGCTCAGAGAATTAGTATAGCAGAAGAACTTAAGATGCATTTCTTCCTTTTCTCCTTCATGGTTAATGCTTAATATGATGTATCACCAGCTAAGAAAGGGTTCCTGAATAGAGGGGCTTTTTTTTTTTCCTAGAATATGCCAGATTACAGTAAAATACAGATGATCTTCACATATTTTTCTGGACAGGACTCACTGAAAATCTTTAATGCCACTGCAAATTAATCAGCTCCGGAGGTAAGGCAAAACCAGCAGAGTATCGCCGTGCTTAAGGCGGCTGCTTCTGTCCACTCATGGCAAACATACAAATGCATCCCTGCTCTCCCTTGATCCTTTCTGATACCTGAACTTCTGCCCTTAAGCACACCACGTGCTCAACCTGCCGCATCCATCCCTGCACGAGGGCCGCGCGCTAATCCCTCCTGCAGCGCGCGCTCGGCTCCGTCACAGACCAGCCGTGGGCAGAGCACCTTTTCCTACAAAGATTTTCTTTTTTAAGTACTACAGGACTCGAGCATGTATCTGCTCAAGAGAATAAAGAAGAGACACTTAATATCCCACGTTTGACACATATCAAAGTGGCACCAACTTTTACACTTTTTTCAGTTCTGAGAATCTGGCACTCCTCTCTTCTACCACAGTCCTGTGAAAAAACATCCACCAAATCCAGCTGCGGCGTGAGGCGAGCGGGCACTACAGTACTCGGCTTCTTCAGTCACGGGCTTCAGTCTGAAATTTCCACAGGCCACGATCATCTGTCCTACTCCCTCCTTCAATACCCAAAATGAGTGCAGAGGTAAACACTCATCCAGTGGCTTCCCATTCTTTTTCCATGCCTGTGGGCATAAACTTACAACCTCCAATGATTTTTTGGTTTTTTTTGTATTTGGCTGGTTTTCACACAGAATTATTTCTTATGCACTGATATCTTTTATGCATTATTCAGCACTAAAGTTAAGAGGATTAGTGTCTCAGCCATAGACTGCAGGCTGTCTCTCTCTACTGTTTTTAACTGCTATCACTGAGAAAGATAAATTGTTTAAAGCCAGTCATTAAAGTACTAAGAAATGTGAAAAGAATTTTTACTGCTGATGAACAGTTAGAAATTCATATTTAATATCAAGTGTTTCATTTAGTACCGCTTCTTCTTGGCAATTGGGTCACTTATTTAAAAACTACAAATGGCAAAATAATTGAATCGCTTCAGAGAAATGATGATAAATAATCCAGTTACTGAAGTCTGAGGCTCTCAGATGAAATCATTCCTCTTCCTATGGGAAAGAGCCTCTGTCTCTGGAACCCCAAAGGACTCCTAGAGGACCTCGCATGGTAGGGATCCCAGAGGTGGTGGTTCAGAGACATTCCCATTAAGCACCCCAGAGACTGCAGAAGGTACCTGACTCATTGCCATCACAATTCTAATGTACTCAGGCTCCCATGGAGATTGAGACTGTCCTGGGACTCCATTTGTTATAGGACCCATACACTATAGGGTTTCCTTGCTCTCCAGCAGGGAAATCTAGGCTGAATCACTGAGAAAATCCCATTTTTCTAACGGAGTGAGGCACCATGGACTGGCTCTTAATACTTAATTTTTTGAGTGGGGAAGACAGCTTCATGTGCGGTTCTCCAGGGAAATGACCTATCCTGCCATAAGGGTTGCATCTGATATTGCTAGTTACCTGTTAAGAGTTTCCACAGGAACAATTCAATTGTTTCATAATTCATTACTAAATTTTACAGAAAGATGATGAATAGTTTTATTGCTTCTAAGCAATAATGGATTGATTTTAAGATGCGTGTGTCTGGAGGATATGTGCAGTTCTCTCAGCCACAGTCTCACAACTAAACAGCAAAACTGCTTGCAGACGTCCAAAATCTCCCTCTCCCTTCCTGTGGATCAGTTATTTTTTTCTCACTATGTTAAGCGACCTGAGAAGTATAGTGCTTCTTTTTCATGATGCAGGATTCCTTTCTACGTCCTCCACCTTGCCACCTGCAAGCAGATCCAGGTTTGTCTCTCCCCATCTGCATCAGTACTTGGAAAGAGCTCAGGGTAGAGAACAAGAGGCTAAATTAGGGTTTTTTTAAACAACTGGCCCATAAAACCATTCAAGTCACCTACAGCTCTCAAAAGTTTAAAGAAATAAATCATGAAGTAGAGAACCCAGACACGCGTTGCCAAGGAGACTGGAAGAGACAGAAGACTGAGGCATGAGATGACTATAGCTACGGGGGATAGTACACAGTCTCGTCAGTACAAACACCACTGATACACAGCAGACATTAAACTATCGTGCAGGTGAAATAAAAGAGCAAATAAAAGCCATTCACAAGTTCAACAGCTTTGTGACATGGCTTCTCTGAGTGTCTGAGTAACCAGCAGCAAAGATCAAGATCCAGCTAAGACTAAGAAGCACCTCTGAGTGAGAGGAGGAGTCTGGATACAGCAAAAATTCTTTAAGAATGTGTGATACTAGACCTCAAACTGTCAAGCACATAAAAATGAAAGGATAGAGGGTCATAAGAAAGCTCAATTGACCATTCCTTGCTTAAAACATGCCCAGATCTGGCACCTCCAACTTCCAATATCCAGGCACTCACAAGTCATGCAGCAAAATGAAACTTATTACTGGAGTTCACAACATACAAGCTTCATAATATGCTTTCAGTTCAATTTAGCTATCTTACCCATTCCCGAAACCCTTTAAAATGAACTGCTTTTCTCATACCTGTAAAAGCACAAGGATGTCAAGTGCATTATTTTCCAGATCGACCTTTTTCCCTGCAAAATGAGCCCCTGATGACAGCATGCCTCCAAGGCTCAGATGTCCTAGATGCAGAAATCCCACTCCACTGCCTAAATTCAGGGTTTATGTACATAGGTTTGGCATGGGTTTGATGGATGGACCACCCGGTG